ACATAACAACAACAACAACATGGGAAAGAGGATGCCTGTCCTGTCTTTGTTTACCTATGCAACATTTAACCAAATCAATGCAAGATAGAGATGTGACATACAATGGGATCTAAAAGACAGCTAAGGGATCAAGCACTTTATAGAAAATAAAGCATAAAAAATAAAAATATGCTTGCCAAATGTGCTCATTTTAGAATGACTCAAACATTAAAATTACTATAATTATTTTCAAAAAAATGCAGTTTTCTAATTTGTCATTTGGAAATCTTAAGGACAGACACTTGCTTTTCTCTCCTTATCTGGCAGATATCCTAATTATGGTAATATTATTTGACTGGGAATAGTAAGTACTGGGTAGGGAAGGTAGCACAGAAAAAAATGAGGATCACAATATGTTCTCTTATTCTCAGTCCCTGCATATATAGAAAATCCTCAATTAAACATTTAGCAGTATACTCAGTATTTAATAATGCTGCTGTTGTTAGGTGTTGTAAAGTCAACTCAGTGAAACTAATGAACAGATCTAAGCTTTAAAGCAATCTTAAAACATAAAAGTAAACACATAGTACTAAACACCAATTTCTACATTTGTAAAGCAAAAGCATCAGAAATGTTAAAAACCAAATTTACTTAATAACTATCCCAATCCCTATTTCCCATTTCATTATCCTGATCTTCTTTTCAAACTCCAACTTTTTCCCCTTACTTGATTCTGGTAGGCCTTACCAGTGGTGCAGTACTACTCAGTTTAACTATTTGTTTGTTAATTAGCAAGTTTTGGTGTTTAGATCCTAAATGATATACTACTATACAAACAACACAAAGAGCATAAACAATGAAAATCTATATTCAACTCAGGATAATTTACTTAACTAATTCAGCAATTAATAAAGAAATTCCTTTAACTCACCACATTAATTTAAGATCAAATAAAATAACTTTATGTTAACTAATCTGGTTAAACAAGTCATAAATAAATGTTCATATTCTCCCTATCTCAACACTCCTTGCACAATAAAAAAAAATTTCCATCAGTTTAGCTATATGATCACCTTTGGCTGACACAGATTTTAACAGCTATTTGGAGGGTTTTGTTTTAGAGGTTGTTTTTTCTTGTTCTTTACCTTATGTCAGTCCAATACAATCAAAATATTCTAGACTAGAAGTTAAGATTCATGGTTTTAAGAATCAACAAATTCTGATACTCATCATTCTCTAGAGTAAGTCAAGTTATGCTAGCATTATTGGTTATTTCCTCATCTAATCAACTGGGTTAAAATACACATACTTTACACATAGAATAGTACTGAAATGAGGTTGTTGTTGTTGTTGTTGTTGTTATGTGCCGTCGAGTCATTTGTGACTCATAGCGACCCTATTCATTGCCTTTGAAAACCTGCAAGAGGGTCAAGAATGGATTGGTTTCAAATCAACGGTTAACAGAAACAACAACAACAATAATTGGAAATGATTATTGCTGTTGTTGTTGTTATGTGTCGTCGAGTTGTTTGCGACTCATAGCGACCCTATGCACAAC